AAGTGATGTGAAAAACCAGGGGAGGGGGGCGTCTCCCTTAAGTCCGAAAACTTTATAATGTGTTTCTGTATCACTATCGTTTGAACAATTAGTAGTAGCTGATTATAAATTGAATAAATTCTTTTCAATTAGTGAATTCACATGTTGTTTTTCATCATGTAGCAATGGTAATTCTTGAGCTAATTGTTGAAATAGTAATTGGTTCGGAGCTAATATATTTTCACCACTATCGAGTTCTAAATTTGTTATAGCCTACAGAATAATGATTAATAAATCAGATTTAATTAACCATGTTAAAAAATGACCAAAGGAAACTGGATCAAAACGCTGCCGATGAACAGAGGGTCAAAAATAGACTTGAACCGAATCTACGGAGAAAATAAAACACTGTTGGAACATGCAATAGTTTTAAAAGCAATTTATTTTGTTCAATTATTTTTAAATATGGGTGCCAATCCAAATCGGTCTTCTAACATTGATAGTTCTCCCATTCATTTAGCTATTGATACTGGATCTGTTGAAATCGTCCACTGCCTGATTAATAGTGGTGCAGATATTAACAAAATATTTACGATTCGTGAACGAGACAAAGGCCCATATTGGCAATTAAATGATTCTTTTAGAGTACGTTATCATGATTGGAGAATACTTAATTATGTGGCTTTTGAATGTAAATCAAAAATTATGAAATATTTGATTGAAGAACATACACCAGTCAACTCATCCTGGCAAACAGATATAACAATTGTTTGCGCATTTGCTAAAGGCATATTAATGAATCCGTTTCAAAATTTAACAGATATAGTTGAAACACTTGGCGTATTGTTAAAAGCTGGTTATAACATCAATATTCAAGAGGAATTAGTTGGTAAATACCCAAGTCATATTATACGTGAAATCAGAACAACTTGCATGAAAAATATAGCAATAGCAATTAATCTTGTTGTAAAAGATTAAATGATTTCCAAGCAAATTTCAATGCAAGAGATTCTTTTCATCGCACAGCACTGCATATAATAGCATCGAATAAGGATAGTCATCAACATCTTTATCAAATTCTGCTCAACTTTGGAGCAGCTAAAAACTCAGTAGATACGAGTTTAAAATCATGTTACGAGTTGAAAATTATATTACGGGTTCAAAACTGTGTTATGTTCTAGTATAGCATAGGGCAGTCTGTTTTGAACTCCTACGAGTTTAAAAGGTTGTTACGAGTTCAAATGAGTGTTATGTTCTCGCGAGTATAATATGCGGACGTTTGGTTTAACGTTTTGATGTGGGAAACAGGTCATTTAGTTTCTGGGCTAAGTGTTGATAAGACGCGGATGCATGGATTCTAGTCAACAGCCATCTTCGCATTCACTGAGTAGATAGTAGGCGAAGCAGGGTTCATCAGTTGTAAGACTGGCCAGGTAAAGAAGACTAGTTACGTCTCATTTTTGCCAATCGTATGCAGAGAAAATGGAAATGGAGCGCTGAGTTTTGCGTGTTTTTCACAAATGAACGTAAAATGTGTTCGTCGACCGGAAGCCGTGGTCACTCGTAACATGATTTTAAACTCGTACGAGTTTAAAACAGCCGCCCAGTCTCCCCTATACTATATTACAACATAACACAGTTTTCAACTCGTAACATGTTTTTGAACTCGTATGGGTTCAAAGAGCCTATACCAGATACACTTAAAAGCGTTTTTTCATCTCGTTATGAGTACAAATTTAACATGAAGTCTGAAACCTCTATGATACATCTAGAGCAGGACTTGGAAAAGGAAAACAAATTGTACAGCTATTATCTAACAGTTATAAACTAGCTTTTACTACCAACTTTTTATGAAAGATTTTGTTCATTACTGATATGAAACGGAAGAATCTGCACATTAAGATGCTTTGTGAAGTTCTGACTAAATAAATTATTTTTAATTGTTTTTTGAGTGATATTCATAATGAAAATACTTTTTATTTTTTCGCTAATATTTCGGGCATTCCAAGCTCAATTGAATTCTCATGCCAATTGTGACATTTGACATACACAAAAGGCTCCTGTGATTAGTCAGTATGTACTGGGAGCTTGACTGATTAAGCAGAAGAACTCTGACTCAGACCGGTCTTCTTTTCAGAGCTACAACTAGTAATACCTGTAGAAAAAACATCTGGCTAAATGCAAATAGTTTATTTCTTTTGTCCGAAGTTAATATGAATATCACTTTCTTTCTCGTACAGAAGTTCCGGATTTTGAAGCGCTTTCTCTAAAACATTTCTGTAATGATATTTTTAACATAGCTGGATAAAGCAGCTAATTCTGAGTTTAGATATCGGCTTGTTGCTCTGAACAGTCTTCTGTTGCAAATCCTGCCCATCCATCGATCGGACAAAGACGAAATTCAGAAAAGCCTTTATGGTTGGCACTAAGCTGTAATGAGAGAAATTACATCTGCCTCTACAGTAACTGATCTGTCACTTACAATGACATTAACAGTTATTTGCTGGGCTTGATGATACGTTTCGACAATCTTATCCCGATAATATTGACCACCTTTTTCAAACAGTTCTGGTTGTTTATCATGGTTTGTGTATCACAATTGACTTTACCAACATTTGCTTTTCCTTTTAATTTCTTTGAAAAATAAGAGTCCGATACTATTTCTATCTAATAAGAAGATATAATCATCAAGAAAACTTACTCGAGCAACACCTTCTAAAATGGGACTAAACTGATGACAATGTCCACACTAAAACATTTACAAGTATACACATTATTGAGAAGTCGGTTAGACAAAAAATGCAGATAGCAGTAATGACAATTTATGGATTAAATTAAGTAGTAAATAACGTACCCAAGGAGCATAGAAATCAATCACCCATGAATTGTTATCACGTAACAGAATCGTGGAAAATTTGGCACTATCTAATTCAACCACTTTACTTGGTAGAAAAGTGAATGCCCATGAACGCAATGAGTTTACATCGCGCCATCCATTATGATATAGTCTAGGAGAAACAAAACATTAAACTGTAATGAATTCTGTAACATCACATTCAAAGAATACGCACACAAAATTTTGTCCATCTGAATTTGTGGATAAAGTCTGATAGTTGGATAAGAATAAATGCCTAATCTTTGACACAAATAAGTTTGAACGGTACAATAGACCGTGGCAACATTGACAATGTCTTTCATAAACTGAAAATAAAGAAAACAAATCATTCTCCATAGATATCATCACACTATTTTTACTTCGATAATTGTCGCCATTCTCCTCATAATTGTTCACACGGAGGACACCATGGCGTAAAAAAATCCAATAGCCACATTTCATTATGTTTCTTATTTACCACCAGTTTTTCATATAAATCATTGTCATTCGATATTATGAATAAGATCAAGCTAACAAAAAGTCTCTCATCAGATTGACGTCATAGAGCAAGATTCATTGTTTAAAACCCACTATGATTCTATGAATAAATTAGGTCTTTAATCATTGATTGACTGGTTGATTTGCCAATATTCATTAGTTCGATGGTGATTTTATTCTACACTATGTTATGAATAGACAACCATATACGTCACAACAACGACCTCATACAACTGAGCTGTAAAATGGATGATAATTAAATGTTGCTTACTACCATCTACCTCCTCATTCTTATAGAAATCTCTAATTGTTACTAAAACATTTGCTTTTGATAGAAATGTTTTTGTATTCTGAATCTCAAAAAAATGATTTTGATTTTCTACTTCTGTGTGATACTTGATAGAGAGCAACTATAATTAGCCAACAATTAAAGGAAAAAATGATTTCTTTTTAGTCTATTGAATTTAATTAACTTATTCCGTTTTCACGTTTTTACTTTTGTACATATAGATTGTTACTTTTTTTTTGTAAAAGTTACAGTTTTATTATATTGTTAAACTTGAATGAATTAATAAAACTGTAGATGAAAATCTTTATAAACAAAAGTTAAAGGCAGAAATCATTTACGCACACATCGGCCTTTCATGATTCTCTTCACGGCTTAGCCACGTAACTCTGCTTCAGCAGTGTGATTTCGTCACGGCTTTTCTCTATTTTGTTTCTCTAACAGTTTTTCTAACCAAGGAAAACTTTTCGGTTCGAAAAACTATTAGAGAAACAAAATACAGAAAAACCGTGACGGAATCACACTGCTGTAGCAGAGTTTGGAGCCAAGTCGTTCAAACAGTAGTACTATTTTTAGTTTGAGTTTTATTCGAATAATTCCCTAAGAAGTTCTCTGCGCAAAATGTAGCGAGTGCTTTATTACAAAATATATAAAAT